TGTTTCTGTCACCCAACTGTTAGATGCCTCCCTCCTGCCACATCCCGCTCACGTCCTCAAGGGCACCCTTGTGCAAGCAAATGTCATTCATGTAACCCAGTGAAATAGGATTGGCCACTGCAGCAATTATTTTCGTTTCCCTCACCTCCTTCTCCCCCTCTCATATTACCTGGGCTCCTGTCAGCGCACCAACTTGTTATTCCCTTTACGCTCTGGGCTCGCTGCAGGCAGCAGGACGTCTCTACCTTCAGCTTCAAGGTCGGTTTAACTACCTATATTGCTTTTCTAGCCTCAAATGGTAGCATTTCAAATACAAGGGTTATTAAAAATGAATTCAAAGCACCACGGGATGTGGGGTAATTTGTTTATAATTTATTGATTCACATAAGTACTTGGTGCAGGAAAAAATGTGTCAGCCCACTGTGCAGCTGCTGCGAATGCTGACCCTAAGGAACAGTTTAAGAAAGGGAAAAATAAGTCCCTTCGCAGATGTGTAACAAGTTCAGAGAAAACATCTCTAATTCAGTAAGGTTTTTTGTGATCTTGATTGTAGCTGTCTTCACTATGGAGATGAGGGGTTTATACTGTGAAATACTGTTGGATTGATTCAGAAGGTCAAGCACTCTTTGCACCTTTGGTTGGGAATTTGGGCTTCTGAGTCTTACCAGCTCACATCTGACCAGCCAGATCTTCAGCTGACAGAAATCAAAAATCGTGTTGTTACTAAGGGGTAGTTACTAAGGGGTAGTTGTCTGATCTATCAAGAGTCTCAGTCTTTTCCATGTCTTCTCTATTCACATGAATCTATTCATAGTCTAGATTTCTTTTTCCCCAAAAAATTAATAGAGTTTTATAACCATTCACTGACCTCTAGCATTACAAGGAGAAACTGAAATTTATTTGACTTTTCATAGAGATACTCTGTCCTGTAATTAAGGCACGGTTAGAATGATAACTGCACTGGCATTGTTTCTCCACTCCAGAGTCTGTGTCTTAAAGCCAGATGGTGAAAAAGGGTCAAATTTGCTCGGGAGGAGCTATGAGAAAATATTAAAAAAACCCACCAATATTGTTTAATGAGATTTAATGTTTTAAATTATACCTTATTCTCTGAACCTGTAGAGTGATACAGCGAATTAAGAACGATGCAAACTGTTTTCTGGGCATCTAAAAATGTTCTCTCATGCATGTAGTCACTGGTGACATTTACTGCAGATGTTTCTAAGGTGCCAACGTCTTCCATAGACGGGCAGAGGAAATTTTCCACTGGCAGCTGTAGCCTCTAGCTCAAGCTAAGGATGACTCAAAGGAATTACTTCTCAGATCTGAAAGACCATCCTCCTTCTCCCTCCTCCATGTGAAAGTTCAGCTCACTGCAGTGATACCGTTAGCTGAACAGCTTAACAGTTGAAAAGATGTGTGTACACATTATCTGTGATGATGAGCCTATGTGAACTTTAGCTATGACTCTGCCATTCCTCTAAAATGTCGCTCAGGATCACATGGTGTGTCAATTAATACCACTCATGCCACAGTTCAAATATTTAATCTAGTTCTATTTCTAGAAATGTCACTGTAACCCTTGTACCTTCCTTCCCTCCTCGGCCAGAAGCGCATGTGCTGCCTACTATGAAGTATAGGATAAACACAGTGTGTTCTAGCACATCAAAAGAAAAACAGAGCTGACAACTTCCTCTTTAAAAGAAGTTCAAGGAAGTAAAGAATTAATAGCAAACACATTTTTTTAAATATTAGAAGTAGTAGTAAATTTCACAAGTTCCTGAAAGGGTAAAGAGGCAATTTGTGTGTTGTTTCTGGTGCTTGACTCCCCTCTGAAGTTCTCAAAAAGGGGTGCAACAGCTTCACCTGTGTGCAGCTGAGAGGATGTCCCTGTGCCACGGGACACGGCTGAGCCAGCCCGAGCACAGCAGTAGCTGTGAACCCTGTGTCCTGGAGATCCTCTGCAGCCAGGGGCGGTTTGCTATGTCAGTTTTCCTGAGTTGGTGATTTGAAAGGAGAATCTGTTTCAGGGTTGGTGAGGGACCTAAAGTACAAAAGCCATACCTCTTCTGGAGACTACCTTCACCTTTAACAGAGGTTTTCATCTAGGTGTATTGGGAATAAGAGGGAAAACTGGTTTATGGCCCTGAAATAGGCATTCTCCAAGTTTTTTCATCCTGCGGTTCGATCTGTGGTTACAAACAGCCCGCCTGCCTTAAGTGGCACTTGCAATCCTCTGGGCTGTTTCTCAGCCAGCACCAAATTTGCGGTAGTGACTTCTGCTAAATCTTGCTGCTGGCTTTTGTCTCCACCTTCTGTGTGTGGTAGGTAATACTTACATTAAAATACAGTTTTAAAACCAAAATACAGTCCTGGCAGGATATGAATGTCACGTTACAGGTAGCTGAGCATGTCTTGGGTGAAAGCAGAGAGGTAAAAGGTGTGACCTCTAAGATCACGACCTTTCAGGCAGGTTTTGCTGATTCACTGGCCATAAGTCATCATGGCATATTGGAACACTGCTTTGGACAAGGCAACGCCAATGTGACTCTGCATTTTTTTAACCTTTATGGTGCTGATATGGTGAGAGAATGGGAATGAAAAAACCTTGGTTTTGCAGACACCGCTACATGCTGTACAGGCTGTAGTACAGGCTGTTACATTAAGTCAGTGCTGCATTTACTCCCCTCACAGTGAACCACTGCAGGCAGTGATCCACAAGTTGACTTGTAAGGAATGAATTAAAACTGTTCACTGTGGGAGGGAGACTGGTGCATCGAGGATGCCCAGCATCTCTTTCTGAGCCAATGGGTCTGTGTTTCTTCTCTCCTGTACAACAGCATTTTTGCTTTCTACAGGTGATAGTAGAAGCACAAATGACCTTGGAAATAAAAATGTAAAGGTCTTGTTACCAGTGATAAATTCCACTGTCAGAGCTACTGAGCTGTGCTCCATGCCCTGGCCTTGGGCCAAAGGCATGTGTAATCCTGCAGGCACACAAAAGTCATGTCAAACAGCTATGAAGAGGCAAAGCCAGCATCCAAAGTATGAACAGAATGACTAAATAAGGGGAAAATGTGCAAGGCAAGTTGTCCAAGAATTTTGTAAAGCTGTCAGATTCCAACACGGGGAGCCTTTGAAGTGACTTGCAGCACATTTGACTAACAGGAAAAACCCCAAAACTTTCCCTGCCACTTTACCTGTAGAAAATACACCTGATGCTGGATATCAGCTGAGGCATGCATATTTACCCTCCACCTTCATCAGTTAAAGGATGCCCAGTTACGGGCATTGCTGAAGACCTTGCTGTCTGCGAAGGAAAGGAAGACAGACTTGTTGTATTTGCTGGGTGACAGTAGAGCCGATCAGCCCTATCATGGTAAGCAAGAGCAGGAGATAAGTGACTTGAACAGGACCGTTGCATAAGCGCCAGCAGCCTTGGCACTCACAACAGAGAGACAGTGAGCCAAATCCGACAGTGATGCCATGTGCAGCAGAAGTGGGAGCACCCTGCCCATTACAGCATAGGCTGGCACTGCTGTGCTCGTGAGGTCTGTCTTTTGTATTTCTGCCATCTGCTAAGGGATTTGAGAAGCTCGTGTTCTTCTCTCCCTGATATTCCCTGCCTGCCCTTCTTTCCATCAGGCTGCAACAAGGTCAGTACTGCCCCAGCCCATGGACTTGAGCTCCAATTTCGATTTCCTCACTGCAGAATACCAGTTCTTGTGTGTTCCCTTTGAACTGCTGTGTCTCTGGATGTGTCAGCTTCTGCTGATCTGCACACAGAACATACATGGTGCTGCAGTTTCATCATAGCCTTACCAAAACATTTCAGTTTAGACCACATCTCTGAATATTTCTGACACGATGTGCTGAAATCCCTACCTCATCAAGTCAGTAATGAAGAAGCTGCCTATATATTACATTTCGGAAAAACAGTCTTACTCCTATCAGAGTATTACCTGAGTGACACATGTTTGAGGTGTCATGCCATGAATACCAAGAACCTTGTTAAAATCCATAAAATAAAATTATTAAGTTTCATACCACAAAAGAATGTTGTGTCCAATACCATGGAACTTAGACCTTGTTTGGACAACTGAAGAAGAGATGTTCACAGAACTACAAATCAGTGCAGGTTCAGATGCAGCTAATTCTGTCTCATGTGCTACTAAAATAAAATCCAAATTCACATGTAGCCCGTGGTGCTTTGAAAGAACTTGAAACTTCCAGAAGGTTTGCGCAGTTATAAACCACTTAGCGGAGAAAAAAAATTTAAGTAGGAAACCATAAATTATAATTGGGAACCATTCAGGAATATTTTATCAGTACTTTCAGAGTCCCACAACAGACCAAAAACCTCTGCTTATTAGGAAGCATTCCAGTTTTAACAGAAAGCGCAATTAATAGTAAAAAAACCTGTGTGACTCCCAGAAGGGGCCAGCGCTTGGCAGGCAATGACCACGGTGTGCGCTTCCAGTGAACTGCTGCAGTCTCAGGGGGTGATGTGATCTCCGAATGTGTAAGCGATTTAGTAGAGTTGCTCTGCTGCTACCATGCTGGGGAGCTGGGGTGATAGGACCCTTCTAGTACCAGCAGGATGTCGAGGATGAAACAAAATGGAAAAACATTCAGGGTAGAGCTAAAGAGTAATCAATACATTTGAAAATATGATAAAAAAATTGATGGAGAGACATAAAAAAGAGCTAGTTATTAAGTAGCTACATGTGGAACAAGTAATGAGTAGAAATTCCTACAACAAACTGATAAAAGTAATAACAAAGGCCAGTGATTCAAACTGAAGAGAAACAAACTCAGGCCAGAAATAAGAAAAGAGTTGGGTTTTGGTTTGGTTTTGGTTTTTTGGTTTTTTTTTTAAACTCAGGTTGATTAACCCTCAGAACACCTTTATCTTCTCCAGACTATGCTCTGTCTAGATAGTGTTGACTGCAAGACGGATGCTTTCCTGACACAGGTGTTTTCCTTCCAGCACACCTGATCAGCACAGGCAAGCATTCCATTCCTTTTCAAGGGTTAAAACTCATAATCACAAGACGACTTCTCATACAATCACAGAATGGTTTGGGTTGGAAGGGACCTTAAAGATCATCTAGTTCCAACTCATCTAAGAATTATTCTTTCCCCTTCAAAGCTGCTTTATGGTAGAACTATAGGCACCAAGGAGAAAACAGGTTTTCTGTTATCATGAGCACATGGGAAGACCCTTAGGAAACTCCTACGAAAGAAAAGTGTGCACATCAATTTTTTGTCTGTGTAGTGGTTAAATTTCCCTGATGAAAGTAAAATCCTTCCTGTGGAGACCAAATGACAGTCTGCAGTGAAACCTGAACCACAGCATGGTATTTCTGGTAAAGTGTTCTTAGAAAAAACCTTACGCATTTCATGATACCTTTGGCTGGGACGATTATGTTTCTCTGAATCCACAGAGGTGGTGACGGTGCAGACTTACTCCTAGGGCAGGTTGACATTTTCTGTGGGGGTAAAAACAGCTCAATATGTTAACAATTTGAGGTCAGATTTGACAAATAGGTTTGATGAGAAATTTTTTTAGTTTGAGACCATTCCATTCAGACTCTTTCAAAACATATTTTGAAATATTTTTATGAAGCAATGAATTACTTAGAAATTGTGCTATTTTTAGAGTGAAAAAAAAAAAGAAAAGAAAAAACAAAACGGCCTTGATCCTGTCAAAGCATTTTGTTCATATTGTACCTTCACTATGTAAACCCTTGTTTTCTGAACTTGTACACCAGGTGTTTGTGCAAGTCTATTTGTGCTATTTTGACGGCATGTGGACTACCTGTGCAAGGCATAACACCGACTGGGTCTGTGCTGCAGCATTATTATGCATCCATATTCAGAACTACAGCTCACCCTTGTGGCAAGAAGTGTCTATTAAATTAGGAGTGACACCTTTTTCATAGAAGGGATTGGAGTCTCCATTCCACAGCACTCCAGATGATGCTTTTTCTCTCATAAGAAATTCTAACCTTCGCATTTCCCTATGCCCTTTGCATTTGACAGTCGCAACTGATGGTCCCTGCGATGGCAATGCCACGCTGAGGTCAGAAGGTCCTACCGCGGGAGCAGATCAAGCCACCTGTCGTCTCACTGTTCCTGCAGGCAGCAGCCGCGTGATGTTGTGATTGATGCTTGTCAGGTCACCTTCTCAGCAGAGTCACCTTCTCTGCAGGAGTGACTGGGTTTAAAAAGCTGAAGCACTTACGGATAAAGACAGAAACTGAACTTCTGCTTACAGAGCTGCAAAGTTTGGGGAAGAAAATAGGATGAGGAGCGCTGGAATATAGTTGTAACAGGAGATGTGTAGATAGAAATTCGTTTAAAAAAAAAAAAAGAAAGAAAAAAAAGCCTATCTTACTCTGATTTTATTTCTAGGTAGTTCACCTACGCAGTCTGTGGCATCTCCAGTGTTGGAGGCTTTTAAGAGCTGTTGGAAAAGCATCTGTCAGGTAAAGTACAGCCAGCCTCAGGGTAAGACAAATCTTTCCTGTGATCTAACAAAGCAAGAATATCCTGGGGGACAAGGCATGCAGCCACCATGGAAGATAACATTGCCATCAAGAAAAATACTGGCATTATGAGACCTTATTAAACTCAAAAAGGAAAACAGTTTCATGAGCTTAAATCCTGTCTTTGATCAGGTGTCCAAAAAGTCAATCATTCTGTCCCAAAGGTACAGGCCTGTTCCACACATCAGACCCTGAGGGCGTGAAGAAACCGCTGATGTGCCTGAACAAGGGAAGAGGTGACAATGAAACTGTCCGTGCTGAGAGGGTATGCTTTAGGGATTAAAGCTGGGCATTGCGCATCCAGTCAAAGACAGGCATAAATCAGAGTGAGGAGGGGGTGCTCATACCCTTTGAGCAGAAGAAGTGAGGTACAACATCCCTGTCTTTCCCTGACCAGACATGGCACAAAGCCTTCACTGTTTGAAGACCCTTTGCCTTTTCAAACTGGTTCCTTTTCCCCCAGGTTCATCTATTTCTTTTTCCAGGTGGTTTATTCCTCTCTCTGTTCACAGGCCGTGGTTTCTGATACAAGCCTAGACCTCAGGCACACAGTGTAGTTCAGCCTGAAAGTCAAGGATGCCAAGCTACACGCAGCCACCCAGGGTATTGTTTGTACACCACATTTTGCAGAAGCTTTGCTCTGCTCAGCTGCTCTCAGCGTCCAATAGTTGTTGCAAAGGCAAACCAAAGGATACAAGAAGCACTGGATCAGCAGCTAAACAACATTTTAGCTTTTATCACCTTCAGTGACCACGGTTTCTCTCCCAAAGAAATCACACAGGGCAGCTTCTAGCATCCTTCACCCTCACAAAGCTCCCGTGTACGTCTCAGCTCCTCCAGAAGAAATAACGCCAAGTGCTTAGCGACAAGCGTGCTGTGCTTACCTTCCAGTCCCAGACCACAACATCGTGCCGATCCGGAGTGTAACTTTCTAGCTGGGATGTTGCTTCTATCTGTTGTGCATCTTCAATCATCGGGAAAGGCTCGAAGGTAGAAAAATAAGGAGCCAATCAATAGCTGCTGTCACAACGGATGGGACTTTCCCATCACACTGCATTAGCACAAGGAATGGAGGTTGTATGAAAACATCAAACAAAGACAGTGCAGCCTTGACAGCAGATCTGTGACATGGCTAAACACAACGACCTGTCTGAGGCTGTTAGCTTTACCTGTGTCAGGCTGCAGTACACACCGCCGTCAGTCTGTGCATTGCTCTCGGTCTTTCTGAAGCATTACACAGTTGAGCCTGACTCTTCTTTGTAAAGACATCCTGCACACCATTACTCTAATTTCATCAGATGCACGGACCAGATTTGTCCCCTCCAGCGACATTGAATTTAGAGGCTCCCAAAAAATACAGGCTGGTGGAGATGCTGATGAGTGCCTGGGGTCACTGAAGTCATAATGTCATGGTCTTCGAGGGGATTTTGGTATGGCTTCTCATTCTCAGGATGAGATTTTGACTGCCAGCCAATTCCTTGCAGTAAAGATGGCATCTGTGAAACAGAACTATAAATATGTAGAGCTGCTGTGAAAATACATGTATTGTTTCTCAGACACTTTGGTATGACAATAATAGTTCTGTGCAGATTAGTCATAAGCAAATATTTCCAGTGTAGGATGGGGATGCTATACTGTGAAAAGGCACAAGAACCATCTGCTAAGTAAACAGAAAAGAAAGCAGCATGAAAACTTCCATCACAAACCTCGTATTTGGGTTTGATTTACAGTCAAACATTCTCCCACTGCATTTTGGGAGGGAGATGTCCTGTTGTAGTCATGAGAGCCTGTCCTGCAACTCACCTAATTAATTCATGGATGGAGGGCAGCCACTGCCAGCGATAAGGCTGCAGTAGATGATCTGCCTCCTGTGCCAGCCCAGTGTCAGCACGTATTTCATTATACTCCAGCGCTGTGCAACTAATTCTCGAGGACTTGGAATGGCTGAGGAAATCACAGTGTATTCTTATTTGAGAAAAAAGAAAGGAAGAAAAAAAAAAAAAAGCCTGTGGTGTCTCCCCATTTCTGTTTTAGGGAAATGCTTTCAGTGAAAAAATACTGAAATTTCTATCCATCAGCACCTTTCGTAGGAAGGAAAGTTAGATAAATGCATGTTGCATATTGAAGGCATGGAGGAGACAGAATAACAACATTCATGTTTTAAATTGCTTTAACAAAGTACAAGACATGAAACAAATTAGTCTCAAACTTGAAACACACGTGTGTCTCTTATCTCATGTATGTGACTAAAGTATAAAAAAGATGTTGCTTTTCAATAGACAACTATGCAAGCAGATCTGAGATCTTTTTACTAAGTGAGAAGATAGAGATGCGACGTTGCACTTTTCTTTAGACAGGAGTGGAAAAGGCAAAGAATTAGAGGGTTTGAGGATAACTAACCCAGACTTACCTGAAAATTACTGGACATAAGAACAGTTTGTTTACTCAAATTGAAACCAAATGCTCTGAGGTGCTTTATTTAACCTCTGAAAGAATGGTGAAGAAATTACATAAATAATTACATTTTTTAGAACTTTGAAAAAATAACTGAAGCAGCATATCCTGGGGGAAAGTTTATGTTTTCTTTTAACTCTTCCATGCCCGTTTCCCAAATATGATTTAACAGAGTCCATATTTAAGAATAAGCTTCTGTCAATGACACAAATTGGAATTTATGTCCTTTATTTAAACAGAAATTTTATCTTCTCAAGGAACTCACAGTCACTGGCAAAACTGCCAAATTCTGATTCTTGGAAGAAAAAACTATGTCTTCTTCAGACTTTCACAGAGCACACCATTTTCTCTGCTACACTTACAGATCTGTACTCCAGACACCATTCAAAACCCATAGCTGCACAGTGAACATGCTGCTGAGAAAAATAAATAAAGCATGCAAATTTTAGACCAGGGAATTTACATAGAATCATGGAATGGTTTGGGGTGGAAGGGACCTTAAAGACCATCTAGTTCCAACCCCCCTGCCATGGGCAGGGACACCTTCCACTAGACCAGGTTGCTCAAAGCCTCATCCAGCCTGGCCTTGAACACTTCCAGGGATGGGGCATCCACAGCTTCTCTCGGCAACCTGTGCCAGTGCCTCACCATCTTCATCATAACAAAAATTCTTCCTTATATCCAACCTAAATATACCCTATTCCAGTTTAAAAACATTGCCCTAGTAAAACCTGTTACACCAGACCCTGTTAAAAAGTCTCTCTCCATCTTTCTGTAAGTTGCCTTTAAATACTGAAAGGCCACTATAAGGTCTCCCTGGAGCCTTCTTATCTCCAGGCTGAACAAGCCCAACTCTCTCAGCCTGTCCCCATAGCAGAGGTGCTCCAGCCCTCTGAGCATCTTTGTGGTCTCCTCCGGATTCACTTGAACTGGTCCAGGTCCTTGCTAGCCTGTTTTTTCTGTCTACTTTAGGACTGCAATTCATCTCTTCCACATGCTTGTCCAGTCTCACACTGGAGGCATGCACACTTAACTGCACCCATGTCAACCTCTGACAAGGGGTTTTTAAGTCTATGACCACAGGTATGAAGAGTCACCTACCTTTGTTTGCTCCCATTAGGTCCATTTGATGAAGTGTATTCACATATTGGAAAAGGCTAAGAAGAGTTGACTTCTATTCCCACTTGCCACAGTACTGAGGTTTTTTAGGTCCCTAGCCCTCGCTCCTTCCCATGGTGTGAGCCTGATGATGGGTTCAAGCCTACCAACTTATTCATACAGAAGAAAAAGCACAGAGTGCTTAGCAGGTCAAGCTACCATGGAAAAGACTCAAGAGTTTCTGCTGGTGATGGCACTGAAAAGAACAATCTAGCTAATGCCACATCCTACTACATGTAACTGTACCTTACCGTACATTTTTGGCCACTGAAAAGATGACTCTGTGTGATGTGTTGATGCTAGGAAGCAAGCTAAAGGATTTGATTATGGCCTTAAATCATTAAAACAAAAAAAAATATTCAGGGTGTTGGGTTTAGAAATGTGTGCTCTACATAGCACCAAAAAAAACCCAAAAAAAAAACCACCCAGCTGATTTACAACACCCCCTAAGGTACAGTTATAGAAATAATACATGTACATACCAAACATCTTTCTGAATACACTATGTTAATGCAAACAAATAATAATAAAAAATTTTCTTCTTTTACAGAGCTAATATTAACAATGATAGTTTACTTTTCACTTGCACTGTATGAGGACTCACAGGTTGACATTGGGCTGTCTTCTCTTCCAGACATCGTATCCTCCCAGAGGAATGGCTAGCACCTTCTGTCGTCTCCTGGCTGGCCGTGCAACCACTGCACTCTTTGCAGCTGCAGGCACGGGGGTGCTAACCACCGGGTACCTCCTCAACCAGCAAAATGTGAAGGCTGCTGTTCAGGAAAAACGGAAACTCTTCCCTCCCAGGTAAGGACTTGGGATCAGGCGGTTGGCTGAGCACAGCACCCTGTTAACAGGGCTAGGAGCAACACTGAACTCTGTGGAGGAAGAAGATCCCTATCAAAGCTGCATAGTCCTCAAGTGGCCACACTGCCTGTGTGTCTGCCCATCTTACAAAATATACTGTCAGGAAGTGTGAAAATATTTTCATTATAGTAGTAAAGAAACCTCCTGTATAACTGCTGTACTTTAAAAACTCCTAATTCTGCTACAAACGGGCTGGCTGATGATTGGAAACTATTAACCGACCTTCTACTCTGTAGGTTGGCTCTGCTGGCCATAGTTGTGAAAAACAATATGCAGCAGGCTCTGACAGACCTTTTGTTTCAAAGTAGTGAATAGTATCCTAATTAAAATATATCCTTATAGAAATAATGGAGTTGTACATGAAGCAAATCATTACCAGTACAAGGTAAATGTGGCCTGATTCAGTTGCAAAAATGTCTTGCTGAAGTGTAACATTTTTATTTTCCCTGTCATGGTACATCGTGCAGTTTTCTGTAAATAACTCCATTAAAGCAAACCCAGATACTGTAGAAGAACAAGTTTCCCAGCTGACACAGATCAGGCTGTCCCGCTGACGTCCATTAAACTGTGAGAGACCCTGGGCTCTGAATTACAAATTATTTCTCCAGCTAAACTTAATTCCCTTCCTACTTGAACTAAACAATGTTAGAGTTCTTTTATTTCTGAATAAGAGCATCTCTGCAGAGATTTTATGGGGCTTACTACACTTCCAGAGCTCATTGGGATTCATTTTCCTGACAGCCCCGAGTAGCAGAAAGCTGCAATTGCCTGTTAGTGCGCTGGCCCACCAGCGTGCAATGCGGGGTACTTGCAGTGACCTGAATCTTCCTCCCTTCCTAAAATCCAGTGCAACATATAAACCCAGAACTACTGGTACTTTTAAACTATGCTGTGTACTCTGTACTTCATGGTCTCTTTCACAGCATCATAAACCAGCAAAGATTACTCTTGTGCTACAATAATTGCTTGGGATTCTTCTCTTCAGCGCAGACTATCCCGATCTCCGCAAGCATAACAATTGCATGGCTGAGTGCCTCACACCAGCCATTTACTCCAGGCTACGGGACAAGATGACTCCCAATGGCTACACCCTGGACCAGTGCATCCAAACCGGGGTTGACAATCCTGGCCATCCTTTCATTAAAACTGTGGGCATGGTCGCGGGTGATGAAGAATCCTACGAGGTAAGACGTTTCCACAGCATTCTCTTATTTGGTTCAGTTCTCATGGTATCATTCTCAAGAGCTCCTTAGATGAAGACAGATTCCGCGTAGGTTATGCACTCCCAAGACAAATTGCATCCAGGAGAGTGCAGAATGGGCAGGCCGTCCACATCAATATGGTGTTTTCCCTACTCTTCCACATCAGGAAATGCATGAACATGAGGCGTTACTACTGATGCCCTCTCTGCTGCAACTGAAGTCAATAAAATGTACCTGCTGGGCAGCTGCTGCCGCCTGCCTCCAGCAGCTGCCTTCCTTCCTACGGCTAAACTTAGTTTATGGCAAAGCTCTGCAGTCCTGAGACGCACAAAATAAAGGTAACGTGGAAATTACATTGTGGAGTACCAGAGGCAGAAGGGAAACAAAAACATCTTCTGGGAAGTGCCAGACATCATTAAGCCACAGCTTTTGGGTCATGGTTAAAGCTGAACGCAGAAAACATTAGGATGGAAAGGTTTATTTAACCCTGCAGTGAGGAAAAGTGAAGAAAATCATTATTTTTATGGGCCTCTGTGGTCTGCTTCCTTCAGCCTACCATACCATGCTACCTATTGTTATACAGCCTCCTAACAACATCCCAAGCACTGGGCTGCTGAGGATGGGCAGGGACATCTGATATCCTGGACTATCAGTGCCCGTCGTTCAGTTTACTCATTTAGATGTGCCGCTGCCTCTCGTCGCACGAAGGTGTGGGTGTGATCGGTGCTGACACACTTGAGCCAAGTGGCTCTCATGAGGACGAGTATCCCACGGCAGTGAAGACACAGGGTACTCCTGCATGCTCTAAATACAACAGGCAAGCTGCCGAGGCACTCTGCCTGTGTGTTCCAGTTGGTAATTACATCCTGAAACCTAATCTTGTTGCCACCACCTCCAGTACCTGCCTGTGGAAACCAGAGTGCGCTTGTGACTTAGGTAAGGTGCAGTTGCACCTTCTTTTCGTTGTGAAGATGAGCGGCTGCTGCAGAGCGCTGTCTGCGTCAGAAGCACCCTATCTTTTCATATGTACCCCTGCCTTAATTTGCAAAGACCTCTTTACGTCCGTCACCCACGAGCCTGTGCCAGGGGACTTCTGTGGCTGAAGCTGGTGTGTTTAAGCGTTTTTGTGACGCTGCAGAGTCTTTCTAGATTCTCTTGCCTTCATAGGTGTTTGCTGATATTTTTGACCCTGTCATTAAAGTGAGACATAATGGCTATGATCCACGGACAATGAAGCACCACACGGACCTGGATGCGTCCAAGGTAGGACAAAAATAAAATGATGAGACAATAAAGGCTCAGGGCTGCTTCTTACAGTGATGATACTGTACGTAAGAGCAGTTTTCTTTTTCCTGATCCAACTCCAGAGACAGTTATTTGAGGGTTAAGGAAAGTGGGATGCCACTTACTGCCCTAACAGCAAGACCTTGTTCCTAGCAGGGGTATCAGTCCCAACCGCACCAAGCATTTGGGCCACAGTCTCACGTGGCACTTGGGTCTGTTCATAGGCTCACAGACAGATGTGTGTCCATGGCTGGAATAAAAGCAGGAGTTGACTCCACCATGCCCACATACACGTGATCAAACCTTACCTCCTGATTAACATTCCCTCCATGGTTCAACTACACTGTGGTTTAGCATCTTCCCAGTCCTTCCTCTTTCAAAGAATTTCATCTGGCCTCTGCCCATATCCATGTTTCCAAGAGCCATGAAGATTCCTTCATATTTTGGGATCACAAAAACCTAGCTGGTTACTCTGCCATATTCATTCAGCCAAAGAAACTTGTTCCTAAAAAAAACCTCCTGGTGCCTGAAATTCTGAGGGGCTCCTGGTATCCCGAGTATTCATAATCTCACAGAGAGGTTGCCACGCATGGGCAGAAAGATGACCCTCTTTTGCATTATGTGATTTGGGTTTTTTTTAATGGTGGAGTACAACACAGGGAGCTGTGTGTGCACTCATGAAACACTCTTCCTTCAGATCACCCACGGTCAATTTGACGAGCGCTACGTCCTCTCATCACGGGTGCGGACTGGCCGCAGCATCCGAGGCCTCAGCCTTCCTCCTGCTTGCACCAGGGCAGAGCGGAGAGAGGTGGAGAATGTCGTGGTCACCGCACTCTCTGGGCTGAAAGGAGACCTCTCCGGGAAGTACTACAGCTTGACCAATATGTCCGAGAGGGATCAGCAGCAGCTTATTGATGTAAGTACAGCTCCAGGGCTGACACCACCTTCATTTACTCTCGTTTATCTTTATCTTCTTCTTTCTTTGGGTTACATGCATTCCTGTGAAGCTAAGGAGGATGATAACAGCATTACCCCATTAATTAATGGACTCTCAATATTTCTAATGTAATGGCAAACCATCCAGGGTGAGTATTCTGGCTGAGTACATAAATGTGCAGGTCCAAAACATGGAGTTATGTTCCAGAGAACAAGATCTGTGTCAGATCAAATATACACAGCTGCTGCCATGTCTTTGGACAAATAAGACGTAAATTCAGGACTTTTTCTTGGTCATTTTCTGGATAAAATATTGGTATTTTCTATATTAATAACCACTCTAAATAAAAATAGTACATTGATATAAGCATTATGTATTAACTGTATTCTAGACTGTCAGGGTGGGAGGCTTTGACTGTAATTTCTTTATGCCAGAATGACACTAATTTCCCCCAAATGGCTGTAGACAACTGCACCCAGGTGACATTTTCCCAGTCCTGTAGCTGTGTTTAAGGACTTGAAGGACCAGGCCCATAACGTGAGTTTTCATTGTCGCACAGATGGCAACACAAGGATTTTCATCATGGATTTTGTCACAGCATGTGACATGTCAAACAAACCTTGAATGTGCATTTTAAATATCCAAAGCAATGGCTGTACCCTCTTAGCTATATTCATGGCACATTAATCCATAACATCAACCAAAAGGGAGCTGATGAAGTAATGTAACTATTTATAACCCTGGAACTAGGTGTCACAGTCTGGATTAACCAGGAGTTAAGAATTCATGTAAGGTCAGTAACTTTTTTAATTGAATGTCCGCGGTAATATGCTTATTGACAAGACATTGATGACCCATTGTAGGTTTTATTTCACTGACCATTTTTTTTTTTCAGTGAGAGAGCTCCTCAGAAAGCAGAGGTTGAAATAGGAGTGTGGAGATTATAATTCCTTCATGGTTTAAGGCTAAGTCCTTCGGGAAGCAGAATAGGCTTCACTGATTGAGCATTTTACCTTCTTTTGTTTGTTTTTAGGGTAATGCAGATTTATAGAAATTAGGGCACTGAGTGCTGTAACCTCAGGTTCCATCTTAAACTCATACCAATGCTTACTTTCTCCAGTACCTTTGGACCTTTAACCTTCATGGTACCAGGCTTTCCACCAGCCTTTAATAAGCACCATCTGATCTTGGTAAGAGAAATCAGTGCTAGCTGAATGGCATTCAGCACAGAAGGCATTTGGTACTTCACAGATTTGGGCCATATGCATCAAAGAGAAACTAATAGTCCTCAGCTGTCTTCTTGCAAAAAGGGGAATTTTTCTTTCTAGCAAAAGTGACAAGTGGAGCAAGTTGAGAAAGGAAATGTGTCCCTGTGATGAGCAAAGAGAACTCTACACCTTTACTTTCTGTACGGTTGGGGTTCTGGCTGCATCATCTCCATCACAGGGTATCCAAAGATGAAAACCTAATATTCTCTACTAAGGGAAAAATGAAGTAAAGCGTATCAACTTGTCTACCATGTCATATTTATTCTGGATTGCTTGCTTCACTAGTCTTAATTAAACCCTAGATTAAAAAAAAAAAAAAAAAAACAGAAAAACCTCCAAAACCAACCAACAACACTCCCCACCCCACAAGATCCCCACACAACATTGGATATGGCAGCGTTTGAGGAATTAAGAACAAACAATTTTTTAGCACACACACAAGAAAATCAAATGCTTATTTGCTTTGACATA